GATTATATATATGTATATGTGTGTGTACTGTGTATATTTATTATGTATATATAAATACACACACATACAGTATATATTTTGAAAATATTTACATACGTTTATACATTTATATATTCATATTCTTATATTTGATATGATATAATTATATTTAATATATAAAAATAAAATCATATTCTTATATTTGATATTATATATAAATATATTTAATATATAAAAATAAAAATTTTCTTAAATACATGCATGCATGTGTTTGTATTCATATATACATAATAAATATAAATAAGTATATACACACATATATTATGTAAACAAACACTTTTATTTTGGATGCGATTAATCGTTTGACAGCACTATATATACATATATATATATACACACTATATATGTGTGTGTGTGTGTGTGTGTTGCTAATATACATGTTGAAATATATTTACAGAAACATATTTTTTTGTTTTAATTACTTATATTTAACTATATTTTGGGGAATTTGTAATATAAGATTTTCAATCTAAATATATTCATATTGCCCACTCAAAAAGCTTCAGTGTAGCTATCTACATGCAATGTATCTAATGACTTTTTAAAGAGTAGTTTGATTGCACTTTAAATAACGATTAGCTTTTAGCTTGGCGAGCTAAAGTTCCGAAGTAACTTCCCCAACAGCGCTCAGAGCCAATATCAGTCAATATGAGAAACTCAGAGCGGTTGCATCAGAGCAGGAAGTAGAATATACGCTACACCGTTTTTAGAAGTTTGTAAATTACTTCTCCACAGCGCGACCCACATCTGCCAATTTGACAGCCAAATTTCATATCTTCCTCTTAAAGTTATAATAACACATTTGCTTCATAAATCATCCTGTTCTCCTGTATTATTAGCTGAAGGTGATAAATGGTCCCGGTTAAAGGATATCAGAGTATGTGTCTGCTTCTGTGTCGTCCCAGGGCAGTGTGGAGGGAGATGTGGACAAGAACAAGTGCTGCACGCTGTGCAATATGTCGTTCACTTCGGCGGTGGTGGCCCAGTCGCACTACCAGGGCAAGATCCACGCCAAGAGACTCAGGCTACTGCTGGGGGAGCCACCTGCTATCACATCTAAAGGTAGAAGGTGCTGATCTAAGATCAGGTTCACACTGTCTAAATCACAATATTTAAAGGCCAGGCTGTTCCCGGGTCAGTATTCATACTTAAATGAGTTTTACGTGTATGACGTCCTAAGCAGCCAGCGGGGAAGTGACCTGTTCAACCATGGATGGACTCTGAATATGAGATAATGAGGCAATTATTCTTGAGAATGAGTTCATTATTATTAATGCTCACGTTATTATGTATTACTCGTGTTTGATGAGGTATGGTATGAGATATGATATGATTGCTGCTCACAGTTAAGGGTATGGGGAGTTTTAAAAATCCCTAAACCTACATTTTAAATAGCTTGTTAATGCAAATATGTAATCAGCCAATCGCATGGCAGCAACTCAATGCATTTAGGCTTGTAGATCAAGACCAGTGTTGGGAAGGTTATTTTGAAATAGGTTACAGATTACAAGTTACCCTATATAAAATGTAATAAATAGTGTAACTATTTCAATTACTTTATTAATGTTACTGATTACTTTTATAAATTTCTAACAAATATTTTCAACTGTTAATCATTTTGAAACCAGGCAGGGTTAACCTTACAGTAGGACTCAACACTGATTACTGTCAGACTTTCAAAATTCTTTACCACCACAAAATCAGACGTTAGCACCACTTTTTACTTTGAGATCGTTCTGAGGTCAAATACAGATTTAAAATCAAAACAAGAAATAGTTTAATAGCTATGATACTGTTTTTGAAATCAAATCTTCGCATATGACAGGAAACACAGTTAATAAAAAAAAATAAAGCATATACATCAACCCAAATAGAAAATAAAACAGTTATCGAATAAGTTCTATTCTGTGTTTATAGTCATATAATCTGTTCGAATATTTTGAGATACTGGATTTTTGACTTTCATGAGCTGTAGGCTCTAATCATCCAAATTAAAACAAAAAAACAGTCCATAAAAAACAGTCCACTGTTTACCAAACAGTAAACAGATACGTCTATATCTTGTTTTGATACAAGTGTATTAACCTACTTTTGATTTATTCATCCAAAATGTGGCATACTCTGTGACATTCCGTGTTATACAGTAAAGTCCATTTTTATGATTGGATTTCACCAATCCGTCTGCGTTTTCTGCATCGCGGAAATCATATTGTGTCATATTTTAGAACAGTCAAAATATACAAAAGAAATGAAATCTGTATGTGTACATGTGCATCTCAAAAAATTTTAATATCGGGAAAAAGTCAATTTTGTTGGTAACTTATTTCAAAAAATGAAACTTTCATATATTCTAGATTCATTACATGTAAAATAAAAAATTTCAAAAGTTTTTTTGTTTTAATTTTGATGATTAGAGCCTACAGCTCATGAAAGTCAAAAATCCAGTATCTCAAAATATTCAAATATTTACATTTGAGTTTTATTAAATGACCATCTCTACAGTATAAATTCCGGGTATCTCTTGTTCTTTGAAACCACAATAATGTGGAAGACTGCTGACTTGGCAATGGTCCAGAAGAAAATCATTGACACCCTCCACAAAGAGGGTAAGTCACAGAAGGTCACTACTGAAAGGGGTGGCTGCTCACAGAGTGCTGTATCAAAGCATATTAAATGCAAAGTTGACTGAAAGGAAGAAATTGGGTAGGAAAAGGTGCACAAGCAACAGGGATGACCGCAAGCTTGAGAATACTGTCAAGCAAAGCCAATTCAAACACTTGTCCAAAGTCAATGCAGCCGCCTACCAGGAGATTTTGGAGCACTTTATGTTTCCATCTTGCTGACAAGCTTTATGGAGATGCTGAATTCCTTTTCCAGCAGGACTTTAGCACCTGCCCACAGTGCCAAAACCACTTCCAAGTGGTTAGCTGACCATGATATTACTGTGCTTAATTGGCCAGCCAACATGCCTGACCTGAAGCCCATATGGAATCTATGGGATATTTTCAAGAGAAAGGCTCAATAGTGCCTCAGCAGAGCCACAGGCTGATCTCTTCCATGCCACACCTCACTGATGCTGTCATTTGTGCTAAAGGAGCCCCGACCAAGTATTGAGTGCATAAATGAACATACTTTAAAGAACTTTAACTTTTCTGTTTTGCAAATCTTTTTTTTTTTGATTGATCTTAGGAAATATTCTAATATTTATCATCAAAATTAAAACAAAAAAATTATTGAAATGTTTTGCTTTACGTTATGAATCTAGAATATATGAAAGTTTCACTTTTTGAAACAAGTTACCAAAAAAAGAACTTTTTCACAATATTCTGATTTTTTTAGATGCACCTGTATGTGTGTGGATGTGTGTGTGTGTGCGTGTATGTGTGTTAAAATATTCAGATGTAGTCGTTAACATTTTTATAAGTAACTAATTTAAATACACATTTTACTCAGTAACTGTAACTGATTACAGTTACATTTATTTTGTAACTAAATTACATAACGCCGTTACATGTAACTAGTTACTCCACAACACTGATCAAGATGATCTGCTGAAGTTCAAACCAAGCATCAGAATGGGAAAGAATGTAAATCAAGTGACATTGAATGTGAGGTGGTTGTTGGTACCAGATGGCTGGTCTGAGTATTTCAGAAACTGCTGATCTACTGGGATTTTCATGCACAACCATTTACAGTGAATGGAGAAATAGGAAAATATCCAGTAATCGGCAGTTCTTTGGGCAAAAATGCCTTGTTGATGCTAGAGGTCAGAGGAGAAAGGCCAGACTGGTTCATGCTGATAGAGAGTCAACAGTAACTCAAATAACCACTTGTTACAATCGCGGTTTGCAGAAGAGCATCTCTGAACACACAACACATCAAACCTGGAAGCAGATGGGCTACAGCAGCAGAAGAGCACACTGGGTGCCATTCCTCTCAGCTAAGAACAGGAAACTAAGGATAAAATTTGCACACGCTCACTAAAATTGGACAATAGAAGATCGGGAAAAGGTTGCCTGGTCTGATAAGTCTTGATTTCTGGTGCAACATTTGGATAGTAGGGTCAGAATTTGGTATAAACAACATGAAAGCCTGGATCCATCCTGCTTTGTATCAATGGTTCAGGCTTGTGGTGGTGGGATATTTTTTATCTTGGCACACTTTGGCCGCCTTAGTACTAAGTATCGTTTAAACACCACAGCTTGAGTAATGTTGCTGACCATGTCCATCCCTTTATGACTACAGTGCAACTATCTAGTGATGGCTACTTCCAGCAGGATAATGTGCCATCTCACAAAGCTCAAATCATCTCAAACTGATTTCTTGAACACAATGAGTTCACTAGACTCAAATGGCCTCCACAGTTACCAGATCTCAGTCTAATAGAGCACCTTTGGGATGTGCTGGAATTGGAGATTTGCATCATAGATGTGCAGCCGACAAATCTGCAGCAACAACATGATGCTATCATGTCAATATGGACCAAAATCTCTGAGGAATGTTTCCAGCACCTTGTTGAATTCCAGGCATGCAATGAAGAATTAATGCAGTTCTGAAGGCAAAAGGCGGTCCAACCTGGTACTAGCAAGGCGATTTGATGCCTTGGGCAACTACCTACAACACCATAGTGTGATGGCGGGAACTTTTGCATGGGCACGCACTACTTACATTTTCACAAAATGTAAAAAAAACTTGGACTTGCAACTGCAGCTGGATGTCCTGTTTTTTATTCATTCAGATGTGAGTGCATTAGGCATATTAGAGGTTTATGTTCTCAAGGCTGTCGCTTGTGGCATGTTTATGATAAGAGCAGGGCCTGTAGCAGGAACAACACATCACTGACTCACTTAGCATGCATAATTGCGCGTGGCTAAGACACCTGAGGGTGCAAAATGACCCAAAAAAGAAAAAACGGAAAGAGCACAGAAAACAATCCAGAATGACTGCATATACAGTATGCTTGAAAGTTTGTGAACTCCTTGCAGAATCTGTGAAAATGTGAGTAATTTTAACAAAATAAGAGAGATCATACAAAATGCTTGTTATTTTTTATTTAGTACTGTCCCGAGTAAGATATTTTACATATTGTCCACAAGACAAAAAAATAGCTGAAAATTAAAATAACCCCCTTCAAAAGTTTGGGAACCCTTGGTTCTTAATACTGTGTGTAGTTACCTGGATGATCTATGACTGTTTTTTTGTTTTGTGATGGTTGTTCATGAGTCCCATGTTTGTTCTGAACAGTTAAACTGAGCACTGTTGTTCAGAAAAATCCGCCATGTCCTGCAGATTCTTCAGTTTCCAGCATATTTGAACCCTTTCCAGTGACTGTATGATTTTGAGATCCAATTGATCCAGCAGGATTTTAGCACCTGCCCATAGTGCCAAAACCACTTCCAAGTGGTTAGCTGACCATGATATTACTGTGCTTAATTGGCCAGCCAACATGCCTGACCTGAAGCCCATATGGAATCTATGGGATATTTTCAAGAGAAAGGCTCAATAGTGCCTCAGCAGAGCCACGGGCTGATCTCTTCCATGCCACACCTCACTGATGCTGTCATTTGTGCTAAAGGAGCCCCGACCAAGTATTGAGTGCATAAATGAACATACTTTAAAGAACTTTAACTTTTCTGTTTTGCAAATCTTTTTTTTTTTGATTGATCTTAGGAAATATTCTAATATTTATCATCAAAATTAAAACAAAAAAATTATTGAAATGTTTTGCTTTACGTTATGAATCTAGAATATATGAAAGTTTCACTTTTTGAAACAAGTTACCAAAAAAAGAACTTTTTCACAATATTCTGATTTTTTTAGATGCACCTGTATGTGTGTGGATGTGTGTGTGTGTGCGTGTATGTGTGTTAAAATATTCAGATGTAGTCGTTAACATTTTTATAAGTAACTAATTTAAATACACATTTTACTCAGTAACTGTAACTGATTACAGTTACATTTATTTTGTAACTAAATTACATAACGCCGTTACATGTAACTAGTTACTCCACAACACTGATCAAGATGATCTGCTGAAGTTCAAACCAAGCATCAGAATGGGA